CGGGGAGCCCTTGCTGGACCTGCATTCTGAAGTAGAATTTCCAAGGTCCTAGGAGCATAGGAAGAGGTTGACTTTAGGAAAGACGCTGAGTTCTGGAGGAGGCAGAAGGAAGATGGACACAAAAGGAAGTCCCTTTCACACACGGTCTGCACTTGCCTTGCTTGTTTGGAGATGAGGAGGCTCTTTCCATGAGGAATGTGCTCCAGAAGGGGACCTGATGCAGATCCCACCACATGGAGCTGGGAGCACCGGACATCCGGGAGGTGGAAAGCATGATCTCGATTTTCCTAACCTGATCTAATTAAACCTGATCAAATAGGAAAGTTTGGAGCAACTTGGAAAATTGCCAGTTAGAAAAGCAAAACATCAGAATTCAAAGCTTTTTATACTTAGATTTTTCTCTACATAAACTATGCTTGTGTGTAGGCAAGGATTGGGAAGGGATGTGCAAAATGGACATATTTACTAAGATAATGTATTTTAAATGTTTTTATCAAATAACCAATATTTCTTAAAATTTTGCTGCGTCATATTGACTGACACCATCAGCTTTAATCATTTTTATAAAAAATACCTTTTATTGATTTCAGAGAGGAAGGGAGAGGGAGAGAGAAACATCAATGATAGAGAATCATTGATCGGCTGCCTCCTGCGCGCCCCCTACTGGGGATCGAGCCCACAACCCTGGCATGTGCCCTTGACCAGAATTGAACTGGGGAACTTTCAGTCCTTAGGCCAACACTCTATCCACTGAGCCAAACCGGCTAGGGCCATCAGCTTTAATCTTTAGAACATCCATGCAAGTTTAACAGTTGTTATCGAAGAGAAAATATTAAATTGGTGTCTAGTTTTGATTGAATATGATAATCTTAGTGAAATCGCAACTTCTTTTTTCTTGTAGCTTTTCCAGTCCTTAGGGTGTACCTGAAAATAAATAAAAGAAGAAAATGAAAATAGCTCATAACCCCATTTTGTTAAAAATTTTTTAAAAAGGAGGATGGAAGTACCTATGTTTTTGAAAGCAAAAGGAGTAAAAACCTGCTTCCCACAAAACTTTCCCTTTCCCTAGAAGTCACTGGCCCCTGCCCACGCGCTGTCCATCCATCATATTGTAGCAGGATGTGGAGACATACGTCCTTGACCTTTAGCTTGCTCTCCCTGCAGTGAGGAGCTGGATGAGCTACACTACCAGGACACAGACTCAGACGTGCCAGAGCAGAGGGACAGCAAGTGCAAGGTCAAATGGACCCATGAGGAGGTGAGTGACCCTGAGGGGCAATTACAGCAGGAGTGATGGCAGTGTGTGTGTGTGTGTGTGTGTGTGTGTGTGTGTGTGTGATGCCCTGGTAGGTGCAATGAAGAGGAGAAGCTGATGGAAGAAGTGGGTGGGTCTTTGATTCTCCCGGTTGCCTCTTCGCATAGCATTCTTGGGGACTCAATATTAAGGACTCCTGTGGGAGGGGGCACTTGTGTCTCTCAGACCTCAGGGCCAGCAATCACTGTTGTGTCTCTTAGAAGCTGGTGTATTCTGCATCATCAAGAACAATGGTTGTGTTTCTTGTCCTTTAACTGCTAGGAGGTTTAGCCAAGTCTGCAACCCCCTTTATTATTATTGTATCTTTGGACCTCAAGTTCTGAATTGATTTTCTTTTCTTTAGTCAACTTTATGGAAGTATAATTTATATACAACCAAATACACCTTTTAAAAGTGAACAGTTCAACAGTTTTAACAAAACATTCCCTTTGTGTTCCATCTTTCCCATTTCCAGGCCGCCCTGATCTATCTCTTGGCTTAATTTATTTTGCCTGTTCTTGAATGTCCTATCAGTGAAATTGTACAGTTGTGCTCTTTTCTATTTGGCTTTTTTTGTTCAGCAAAATGTTGTGTGAGTCACGAATTTGTTTGTTTTTATTGCTGAATAGTATTCCGTTGGATGGGTATGCCCCGTGTTTCACTTGTTGGGCATTGGGGCTCTTTCTAGTTGTTGGCTATTGTGGATAGAGCTGCTGTGAGGATCCTTGATGAGTTTTTTTGAGGATTGTTTTCTCTCTGGGCAGGATACTTAGGTACAGCCATGGGACAGGTGTATGTTTAGTTTTATAGAAACTGCCAGGCCTTTTTCTAGATTGGTTGTACCATCTTAGATGCCTGCTGGCCTTATTATTTATTTATTTTACTGTGGGAGTTGTAAAGCCCTCTTATATTATAAAAGATTAGAGGCCCAGTGCATGAAATTTGTGCACGGATACGGTCCCTAGACCTGGCTGGCAATCAGGGCTGATCGGGGCCAGGCTGATCAGGGCTGGGCTGGAGAGGAGGCGACGGTTGCCGGGCTGGGCACGGAGGAACGGACGCTGGACACCAATGCCGCCATTGTCGGTGCCCCGCCACCATGTGGTTCCCTGCCTCCCCCCACCCTCCTCCTTCCCTTGCTGCCGCGCCGCCATTGTGGCAGGCAGGACGATTGGAGCCTGCCAGCTGGGGGGAGAGATGGGGCGCGGGAGGTTGGCCGCTGGCCCCTAGGAGGAAGCTGGCTCTCAGCCCCCCTGGGAAAGGGGTCATGAGGAGGGACCATGGGAGGTTGGCCGGCGGGGCGGTTGGGGGGGAAGGGACCACGGGAGGTTGGCCGGCGGGAGGGCGGGAGGTTGGCCAGCCGGGGGAGGTTGGCTGTGGGAGCACACTGACCACCAGGGGGCAGCTCCTGTGTTGAGCGTCTGCCCCCTGGTGGTCAGTGCGTGTCATAGCCACCAGTCGTTCTGGTCTCTTAGACTTTTATATATATAGATGCTTCTGCAGAGGAGTGCTAAGCCAGCCTTTCTGTCCATCCTATTGTGGACCGGGAAATACTCAACTTTTGTGGGTTTTGAAGAATCAACAAGATGAGGTCCCTTCCCCAGAGCAGCTCTCTGCGTGGGATGGAGAGAGAAGACTGCACAGGCCCCTGGATGCACTCTGGTCTTCCATGGCGCCAGGAGGATTGCACTAAGGCTCCTAGCACGTTGGAGGCACTAGTAATTGTTGAAATACTTTAGGGGGAGAGTTAATGTTGTCTGAAGAGATAAGGGGAAGTTTCATGGATAAGGTTTGGAAATTCAGCAGTCAGGGGGGTAATTGTTGAAATACCTTTAGAAGGACAGGTTACTGTTGTCTTAAGAGGTTAGGGGAAGTGTCATGGAGAAGGATTTGGAAATCCAGCAGTCAGGGACGTGTGTGAAACCGTGGGCAAGTCGGAATAGGAAATGGGTGGTAGGTGGACAAAAGCCAGTAGAGGAGCCCCGGTGTGGCTGGAGGGAAGAATCCTTGAAGGGGAGGGAAGAAGAGTGGTTGGAAAAGATGGATTAGGGCAGTGGTTCTCAATCTTCTGGCCCTTTAAAACAGTTCCTCATGTTGTGGTGACCCCCAACCATAAAATTATTTTCGTTGCTACTTCATAACTGTAATGTTGCTACTGTTATGAATCGTAATGTAAATATCTGATATGTAGAATGGTCTTAGGCGACCCCTGTGAAAGGGTCGTTTGACTGCCAAAGGGGTCGCGACCCACAGGTTGAGAACCGCTGGATTAGGGCTAAATTCTGGAGGGCCTCGACTGCCAGGCTCAGAATATAGGCTTATTCAGCTGACAGTGCAGAGCCATTGGAGGCTTTTAGAGCAGAGGAGTGACATGAACATAGCTGGGCTGCAGAGGAGCTAAGCTGCTGTGCGTAGGGTGGATAAGAGATTTGGGGGCAGTGTGGGTCCCAGCAGCAGTGCTGGGAGCTGGGGAGGGCACCGCATGGGGCAGGTAAGACGATGCCTTGGAGAGACTAAGGCAGTCCAGGGTGGAGTTAACAGGTGGAGGAGGTTCCTGGGGTCCTGGAGGAGTTGGAGGTGAAATGCGAAGTGTCTGTGTCAGTTACTGGGAGGACAGTGGTGCTGGAGATGGACATGGGAGGAAGGCAGGTGTGGGCCTGGCCAGGCTGGACGGCAGAGGAAGCCGGGGTGTCTGGGGATGGCTGGGTGTGAGCTGGCTCAGCTGTAGGATTTATGGGGACTTTGTCCAGCGCTGCTAGACTGGCCAAGCTGCAGCTGAGGGTCTGGATTTCTGTGGTGGCCTTTTTTCCTGTCCAGGAGAGAGTGGGGGAGGGGAAGGGAACACATAACATTAAATTTACCACTTTTAAGTGTACAGTTCAGTAGTATTGAGTATATTCCCATGTGTAACAAATCTCTAGAACTTTCTCATCTTGCAAAAACATCTCTATACCTTTTAAACACTAATTCCTCATGCGTGGAATCGTAGTATTTGCCCTTTTGTGACTGGCTTCTTTCACTTAGCATCATGTCCTTGAGGCTCATCTATGCTGCAGCATATGCCTGAACTTCCTTTTGTTTCAAGGCTGAATAATATTCCACTGTATAGATATGGCACTATATATGTAGTTTTTGTTTGCTTGTTTTCTTCAAGTAAAATCGATTTCTCTCATTTTGGAAGCAGCTTTAAATACCTACCACCAGCTTTCTCAAGCTCTGCACACTTCTTGTTTGTTCGTGCTGAAATGGGTCCGTGTGCATTCCAGTGGGGGGTGTTCCTCTCCCTGCCCCCGGTGGCCCCACGGTAGGGCCACGGCAGCACTGAGCAGGAGGGTGCGGAGCCAGCATGTTCCATTCGGAAGTTATCGACTCTAGACTCTAAATGTCTTAGCAAACACTCCTCTGGCTTAAAAGTGGAATTACTACTCAGAATTTATAGGTCCACAAATGGAGTGCTTCCTCTCCCTCTCTCTCTCTTTCTGTAAAATAAAAAAATAAAGAAGTAGTGCAAAAGTCAATTAAAAAAAAAAAAGAATTCACAGAAAAGGGGATTGGGGTTCAAAGGAGCCCTGGCTCCACCCACTGAATCGTTTACTTTATATATAAATATTAAATTTAAAAATCAACTTGAACCCAGCCTGTGTGGCTCAGTGGTTGAACATCGGCCCATGAACCAAGAGGTCACCAATTGAATTCGTGGTCAGGGCACATGCCTTGGTTGCGGGCTCAATCTCCAGTGGGGGATGTGCAGGAGGCAGCCGATGATGATTCTCTCTCATCATTGATGTTTCTCTCTCACTCTCCCTCTCCCTTCCTCTCTCTGAAATCAATAAAAACATATTAAAAAAAAAAAAAAGAATGGAAAGGCCTTACTGCATTATTTAAAATATATCAATTTGAGGAATACTTTATGTACAACCCACTACAGTGACTTAGAGAATAATTCGATGAGTTTCTACCGAAGTATTACGTGCATCTTT